AAAGTCAAAATGGCTAAGCAACCAGGACAAAAGGTAAAAATTCGGAGATTTTGATAATCGCTGCGAGCACGTTCCAAATCATTCTATTTTAACTTGAAGAGGCTTTCGAATGTTGCAGGCCTTTACAGTGACTGGCGAGTGCCGAACGACTATTAAGTCGGTGCTCTTATCCTCATTGGTACCAATTTGATGTCCTAGGAATGTAGAGGGCTTGGCTGGCCAGCGGGCGGGATCCAACCTCAGTCCGATATGTCAAAGCCGCGCCTCATACCACTAAGCCGCTCGTCTCCCACAACCAATGACATCTATCTTGAAGTTCAAAAAAAAAATCATATGCTTACCCATTGACTTCATACTTGATGCATTGCTGCTCGAACACTTTTATTAGCTCCTGTCTTATGCGTTCTGGGTCAACGGAGTTGGTGACAGATACGTTGATTTTACCCTAAAATCAATAACTGGCTCTCACGTCAGCTTGGTTGTGGAAACAATACCAACCTCCACGGTCTTCAAAATTTGAGGAGAATCAGTCTTGAGTTTTCTGGGTGTTAGAAGATTTATTACACGATCTGCTTTACGTTCCAAAGAAGCAAACACCTAAATGAAATTTATGCAAAATATCTAGATGAGTGAGATCCTCCTTTCACAGCCTTTCAGATTTCACAGCCTTTCCTATTCTGATCTACAAGTTGAATTTTCCTCATAGAGTAGGGCTGCATAATTTTTTTCGCTTTTTCCAAAACAAAAACCGGTCTCAGGATTAGGAAGGCAGTTGCAGCTGAAGTAAATCTTTCAATTTCGCTGACCCTTTGTTTCAGTCTGGGTGTCTTCGCTGTGGATCTCGCCTGCCGCGTGGAATCACAAGGTGTCTTCCCGCCAGAAAACGCGGGTGATTCAGCAGCAGAACGCTCCGAAGACCGCGCGCTGTAAACAGCAGTTATAACTATGAGGCTTCATTCAATTTGTTAGAATCTATCATACCGTTGTCGCGAGCCCCTTGGACTGAATAATCCTTTCAGTGCGGGCCTTTGTGGAGTTGTATAGATACTCCTAGGTCTTGTACCACGCTCATCTGGAAAAGTTAGTGCTCAATTTTCAAGAAGACACATGGCTTTTTTTACAAAATACACTCTCATCACATTCGCAAGAAAATCACCTATGATCTTGACTGGTCCACGGACACGTACGCTGGCTGCTCCTGTTCGATAGTTTTCCTTATCATATCCTGGGTCACAACCAAAGCTACCCTGCAGAAACGAAATAGACCGGTAAAGAGGAAACTTGCAAGTAGAAATAGAAAATCGTCATTATATTTTACCTGCCCACGTGCTGCAGGCTTTGGTACTGCTCTGTATGGAGTGGAGCTTGTAGGTGTTGGGGAATTGTAAGACAATTTTTGTTGTGGAGATCTTCCAGTGCATACAGTTGGAGTATTAAATATCGCATTCATATAGGAGGTTTTCTGAAAGAAAATTATGAGTCACAGGTGAGCACAATCGGTTACTCGGTACCAACTTCAACTGCTCTGTTGGTAGTTCTTTGTTGATCTCT